GTTTAAGAAAGGTGATTGTCGGAAATATTTTGGAGGAGGGCTGAAAATTGTAACTCAATTAAATTGATAAAATAAATGAAATATTGCCATGTGGGTATCAAACTAAATAGTTTTAAGAAGGCTTACAGCCGAAACTATGAGAAACATTGAGGAGGGTTACCACCTGTTTGAAGATCTAACTTTATTATTATGAGCCTTGAGCACTGCGACTTAGTTTAATTTATAAAATAAATCACATTACAATATAGGTATCAAATTAAAGAGGCTTAAGAAAGATGACTGTAGGAAATACTTTGGAGGAGGGCTGCGACCTATTTTTATTTTAGCTCAGTTAAATTGATAAAATAAACGAAATATTGCAATGTGGGTATTAAACTGTAGATTTTTAAGAAGGATTACAGCCGAAAATAAGTTTGAGGAGGGTTGCCACCTGTTGGAAAATTTGACTCAATATAATTGATCAAATAAATGGCTTATTACAATAAAGGTATCAAATTAAAGAAGTTTAAAAAACAGACTGTAGGAAATATTTTTGAGAAATTTGAAAATTTTAGCTCAGTTAAATTTATAAAATAATTGAAAAATTGCAATGTGGGCAATAAACTTTAGAATTTTAAGAAGGCTTGCAGTCGAAAATATGTAGGAAGAAGGTTGCCCCCTGTTTGAAAATTTAACTCAATTTAATTGATAAAATAAATGACTTATTACAATAAAGGTATCAACTTAAAGACGTTGACTGTTGGAAACGTTTTTAAGGAGGGTTGCCACCTATTTGAAAATTTGAACTCAGTTAAATTGATTAAAGAAATGAAATATTGCAATATGGGTATCAAACTAAAGAGCTTTAAGAAGACTTACGGTCAAAAATATGTTTGAAGAGGTTTGCCACCTGAACTGAATATATTTGAATTAAATGAAATATTACATAACTGGTTCGAAACGAAAAGCGTTTGGGAAAGCTTTACAAGAGAAATTTTTTGTTAATGTTTTCACTTTTCCAAATCCGGATAGTTAAAATGAAGAGAGAGTTTACAACATCTTATCAAACGAAGTGATCATATTATCAACGAAGATTTGGTATACAAATTACGCACAGAAAAAATTAATAAATAACAACTGATACAAATGAAAACATTATAAACAGTATAACGAAAACATAAAAATATCCAATGAAATTAAATAATGAAAACTTAAAATTTTTATCACCATTCCCTTACATTAACACAGTTAACAGTTAAATTTCAATCATAAACAATTTCGTTTGGGGTCGCCATAGCCTACTAAGTATATTACGAGTAAAGAAATTTTTAATAACAATAGATAATATTATGATTATCATTAATATTACTATTGCGAACTCCTATTATATGCGCAAACGGACATTCTCAAATTAAAGCTAAAGCAGAAGGGCATTTACGATCGCATGAGGCAAGAGTTAACATAATAAGAGCTGCGTGTAATTTCTGGCGTGTGCAGATGACATCGACATCATCGGTAACAAAAACCTCGAAGTCTGTTCTGCCTTTCCAAGTTGGATAACGAACGATAACAACATCAAATAAACAGTCAGCACATTCGCGCCTTGGCACCCACGTCACTGTTGATAGTTACAATTTCGAGAAAGTAGAGAATTTCGTTTACTTGGGAACCAGCATTAACACCGATAATAATGTCAGCATTGAAATCCAACTCAGAATCACTCTAGCCAAAAAGTGGAACTTTGGACTGAGTAGGCAATTCGGGAGTAAAGTTCTCTCTCGACGTACAAAAACCACACTCTATAAGTCACTCATCATTCTCAAGCGGGTTTATGGCGCAGAAGCTTAGAAAATGACAAAATTCGATGAGGCGGCTCTTGGAGTCTTCGAAAGAAAGATCTTACGAAAGATTTACAGGTCTCTCCGCCTTGGAGACGGGGAGTATCGCGGCACCGTTGGCTTGGACATGCCATTCAAATGGGAAATGAAGGATTTGCTTCACGTGGCATTTCCTATTGGCGTCAGTTGCCACAGAGATAAACGACTGACGTTCTTTGTCGAGCTCGGCCAAATGGCTTAGGCGGTTCCAGCGTCAAATAAGAAGGAGAAAATAATATCTGGGGACCTTATTCTTGGATACGCCTGGAGGAACTAGGAAAACATTCTTTATCAGATTGATTCCGGGGATGGTTTGTTCAAAAAATTACATAAGCTTAGCTAGGGCTCCGCCTGGAATTTCTGCGACATTGTTATTAGGTGAAAGAATTGCTAATTCAGCAATTATACGTGCAATATTTCCAGAAGTTCCGGTATGGAAAAGGTATTACGAAAATGAAAACTCATTGTTCGGGATGAGTGTACAATTGCACACAAAAAATTGCTTGAGGTTTTTGATCGATTCTCGCGAGATTTGCATGGAAACGTTTAACCATTCGGGATTGCATTGATGTTGCTCTCAGGAGATTTAACGCAAACATTGCCTGTAATTTCTCGATTAACACTAGCGGGCGAGATAAATGCTTGCCAGAAATAATCTACATCGTGGCAAAGGTGAAAAATTCCCATGATTCCGACCGATACACAATTTCAAATTAAAAGATTGCAATTCCCAATTCGATTGGCATTCGGAATCGCAATCAATAATTCCCAAGGTTAACCTTTGGAAAAGTGTGGTTTATATTTAGATGCGGATTGCTTCTCAGATGTTGCATGTTCCCGTGTCGGCAACCAGATTATCCTTGATATCTATGCAGAGAATGGCAAAACGACAAATTTTGTGTGCACACAAGTACTTATGTATTACAAAATCAAACTTATATGCGACGTATGCTTTGTTTCGTTAATCATTTATCAACTATGTAACAGGAATATGCCACAGCAAAGCGTGGCAGGGTACAGCTAGTTTATTTAATAAAAAGTTAAAAAAAAAAAATTGTTTTTGTTGTCACTGAAACCGAGTATGGAGGTCCCTTGATTCCTCAAGGTCATCTGGAGGTCATGCCAAGGTCAAATTCCGATGAATTTTATTGAATTTTCAGGTTTATTCAATGAATTTTTCCCTACTAGACCTTCAAATGACCACGAACCTGACGTGATGGAGGGACCTCGAGTCCGCATTCAGCATGTCGAATAACATAGGTATATATAGGTTTGGCTTAATACGCATACACTTTTTTTTTGTAAACCTGTGTTATCAATGAATGTATTAAAACTTATAAAGAATGTTTCTATTATTTCATATTTTAACCAAATACTGTCCTCCAAAAATCCATCTGGAATACGCCCTGTGTTGCCATATGGCAACAGCCGATATCGGAAGAACTATACTACTCCCAAAGTTTTTGTCATATTTTTTCCTTTACTTTAACGCTACTTTTATCCTGTATATTGTTAAAACCAAAAAATTCTAAAAAAAATTAATAATAATAATAGATTGGCGCTTACACATATGTTAGTGTTTGGCCGAGCCTCTCCTCCGAGTTGTGGCGTGCGCCTTGATGTTGTCACACAAAGCGGAGGGACCTACAGTTTTACGCCGACTCCGAACGGCGATTGTATTTTTATGGGAAGCTGTTTTTCATGGCCGAAATACACTCGGAGGTTTGCCATTGCCTGCCGAGGGACGACCGCTGTTAAGAAAAAACCTTTTTCTATTTTTTTGCGATGTTGCTTTGACCAGGGCTTGAACTCAGGTGCTGATGAGTGAAAGCGCGCACTGCTTACCACTACACCACAGCGGCCGACGAAAAAATTAATCTGGGACAATTTGGGTAAAGGGTGCTAAACTTTTTGACTATCGCTTTAAAAATGTGAATACGCCCTTAGAGCTATTGACTTTAGTATGTATATGGATGCTGAAATTGAGTTTGGAATCCATTGTGATATCAAAATCGACAAAATTGGATACCTGTCAGAGATTATAATTAGATATTGCGTAAACAGCTGTTTGAATTTGCCCTTCGAGAGAACTGTAAATTTTTAAGGTTTACTGGCATATAATTTGAATTACACCCAATATCCACGCTATTCCATTGAAGAAGCCTAGGCTGAAGGTCAGTTAGCCAGCATTAACACCGATAATAATGTCAGCCTTAAAATCGAACGGAGAATCACTCTTGCTAACAAGTACTACATTCGTCTTAAAAAGATCACACTACATAAATCAAGATATTTAATAGAGAGATTATGCGGAAGGTTTACGATCCTTTACGCGTTAGTTACGGCGAATACCGCAGACGATGGTGCGATGAGCTGTGTGAGCTTTAGAGCACTTTCACATTACTCGGTACGATATCGGATCGACATTTTAGGTTTTTACCGAAAGTCTACTAACCACATGTATTTTAATTGGCACTTTCACATTAGTGTCACATACATGAAATCGGAGCGGATTCATTTCGGCCTACCGCACTGCAGTAAAACCGGTCAATAAGATCTGAAAATTTACTGCACACATTTTTGCGAAGAAGAAAGTAAGAAGTAAATAAATAAATATAAATATAACAAGCTATAACGTCTTTTTCTTCGCCAGAGGATATTTTTTTTAAATGATTTATGAAATTTTTCTACAAATTATATACCGAAAGTATTCCGACAAGTGTGCAGATAAGCGCAATGCGGAATCGTTTCGGTAAACCGAAAATAACGAGGAATAAATGTCGATCCGATGTCATACCGAGTAATGTGAAAAGACTCTTATAACGACAAAGACATATCACAGCCAATTAATATACAGCGGCTTCGCTGGCTCGGTCATGTCGTTTGAATGGCCACAAATGCTCCAGCGCCGGCAGAAGAGGAAGGCATCCTCTGAGGTCGAAAGATAGGGTGCATAGGGACTTGTCTTCAGTTGGCATCCAGAAGAGAAGCAATTGTAATGTTTTATTAGACGCAGCTAAAATGGCTTAAGCTTAGCTTGTCATGCTAATATCCTCTCCAAGTAAGCTTTCAAACTAGTGAGTATATGTATACTTATTTATTAGATGATATTAATTCTGAATATGGTAACGGATTTCATATTAACTACTCACTTGTCAATGGAAAGCTAATGGATACATTTGAAAAGAAACCCTCCGGTGGATGCCGAACCAAAGGCATTGCTATCGTCGGTGTAAATGTAAGTGATGTACCTGGTGGCAGCGCAAGTCGACCATCATCTGTTATCCACACCAAACGTTTTCGTCTGGAATGCGGTTGATTTAAATCACTATCAGAAACACGTTCTTTCTTAACTTTCCCTTTAAAAGAATTTTGGGAACTCTGACTACTGCTGTGTATGCTTACTGAAACTTGTTGCGTTGTTGTATTCAGTACATCTTCACTGGGCTTAGATCCTGTAGATTCCACTACGAAAATCATTGCTAATGCGAGTAGGAGCACATTCGTAGAAGTTAACTTTGTATTCTTGTGGTTGCGAATCTGAATTGTGTACATGTTTAACAATCAAAGCTGAAACAAAAAAGTGTAAGTCTTTTAAAATTATTTAATAATAAAAGCTGTTTTTACTGAACACATTTCTAGCTATAAATTATTACACCGGAGTGTACCAAAAAATTTTAGTGGTTGTTTTTAGCGCATACCCTCTCAATTTATCTGTTTTATGTTAACCCTTTCATGCTAGAATTATTGTTATTTTATTCAGTCTATGAAACAACATTTCTCAACAACTAGTAGAGAAAAAGTTTTATTACTGCTAATTCAAATATTAACATTACCAAGTAGTGCGAAGAAGATTTAGAAAAAAATGTTTTGTCGTATAGAAATCAATGGCGATACTTTCGGATAAAATTTTAAATTAATAGACCCAAAGACTGCGCCTAGGAACATCAAAACTTATCCTTTCCAAAAGATAAGTACAATCAATGACACCTTGAACAAATCTGTTGAAAGGTTAACGATAACATAGCTCTACGGTCTTTAAAAGACTGTAAATCTGAGTAGAGAAGGAACGGCGCACTCAAATTTCAGTGACCGTAGAGCAAATTTAAGGAAAACCTTCTGTGTATAAACGTTCTATTCTTTTGGGTGGTTAAGGGATCTACAAACGAATGTCACATATTCGAGATTAGAACGCACAAAACTTATAAATAACGTTTTCAAAGTACATACATATATTGGTACCACAAATTTGTACGATGCATAAAACCAAGTACTGAGTATTAAACTGACCAACCGTCCTCCTTTGAGGAAGATTGTCCTCCTCAGTCGTGATTTGTCCTCCTTTTGAGCAAAAATGTCCTCTTTGTTCTACTTTTCAAGTTTTATAGCACTGATGACATTTTCAATTTCGTTCAGAATATTATTATTGTCTAATCGTACACAATCATTGTATTTAAAAGGAGTTTATATTTTCCTACCTTCAGTTAAATGATGTAAACCTTTCATTCAACTAACCGCCTGTCAGAGTTGAACAGTGTTAATGCCTTATAGCCTTATTTAATACGGCTTTCTCACGGCACATCAATTACGTAGTTCGCTATCTCATTCGTAATTCGCACGAATTATGTAAGTCGCCATACTAAATTTTGAGAGCGAATTACCTCATTTGTTGGTAATTCAGATCCAATTACCTTGAGAACTACGAACAAATCGCTGTCATCTCTAATTTTTAGCGAAGAAAACAAAACAAAACACAAAGATAGAGAACTGTCAAATCGAATTAAGAGTGTGTCCCCACGAGCACTGCCAATTACGTAGTTCGAAATTGAATTATTTTGGAGAATTATCCCGTTTAGACGACTCATTCCTAATTCGATTTGACAATTCATTGTGTTTTTCCTTGATTTTCCCCTTTCTTTGTTTCGATTTTACCTATTTTCTCTTGCTTTGATATCTGAGTTCGATAAATTTCCGATTAAAATTAGAGACGGCAGCAATTTGTTCGTAATTCTCATGGTAATTGGATTTGGATTACCTACAAATGAGGTAATTCGCTCTCAAATTTTTTGTGGCAACATTTGTGTGTAGGGATTTATCATCTTGATAAAAGCATTTGTTAGATGGCTTAAACAAGTATGTTACTTGCATTGGAGCGCAAATATACTTTAAAAAAATTGAAAATGTGTTACTTCACATCCAAGTACATAATCAAAAATAACACAGGTCCACCGGCGGATCCAGACTTTTTTTTGGGGATGTTTTTCGGGAAATTGCCACTTATTCTTATTCCTGTAAACGAGTTATTCTTGTATATATATATATATATACTAGCAGAGCACCCGACGTCGTTCAGGGTAAACAAATTAAAATATAAAACAGTAATACAAATAAGTATTCAGTTCAGCATAAATTAGAGTAGAAAAGTAAGGCATCCTTATGAGCCACAGTTTTAGCTTTATCGTACTTCAACTAATAATATATTGATCATCAGTTTCTGTACTTAAAATATTGTTCCATTATTAATATATTGTTCCATTATTAATATTAATAGGTGGATTAAAGGAACGATAGAATTTTTGAATTAAAATTAGTCTACTATGGTACATTCCGTTTAGCTTCCTATTCGCTTAGCTGTTGTAGGGCCGGTTACTCAATGTCTGGTTAACACTAATCTGCGGTTAAACATCGCTGTCGACTTCTTCGACTCCATGCATACAACAGGGAGTCGGCAACGTCGATAACTATGCTTAACCGGAGATTAGTGTTAACCAAACTTTGAGTAGCCGACCTTTAGTATAGCTGCATTTTTCCTGTAGAATGCTTATTTCAGAAAGAGATTTATTCATTATACATACACATGTTTCGATTAACAGCATCGCGGGATCAATAAAATTATTTAATCTTTCCGTTTCAAGATGGTCTAAAGACTGTAAGGTTTCAAAAAACACAGTTTTAAATATCCGAGTTGTCTAATAGTTGAATACATATTTATCTCCCTTTTACAAACACTTTTAACCATATACTTTATTCTAAACACCTCCCATACATATGTCTCCATACCAAATTTCAGGTTCATGTGACATATAGTTCCCAATTTGGTTAAATATTCCATGCTTATGGGATGTGACACGTCCCCTTTTATAAACCCATTAATATATATCTTACTATAAACACCTACCAAAAATATGTCTGCATAAGAAATTTCAATTTCATGTGACTTATGATCTTAAAGTTATACTTAGCTGATAAAAACTTCCACGCCTATGGGATTTGCGACGCCTCCTTTTAAAAACTCACTTATATATATCTCTTTATAAGCGCCTACCATATCTCTATACCTGCATACCAAATTTCAAGCTCGTGGGGCTTATGGGATGTGCCACGCCCCCTTTTACAAACTCATTTATTTACATACTATAAGCACCTACCATAGCTAAGCCTGCATACCAAATGTCAAGTTCATGTGGCCTATGGTACCGAAGTTATAGCTGATAAATACTCCACGCCTATGGGATGTGCCACGCCCCCTTTTACAAACTCATTTATATATACCTTATTATAAGCGCCTACCATAGGTATGTCTGCATCCCAAATTCAAAGCTCATGTGGCTTATGATTTCGAAGTTATAGCTGATAAAAAAACACGCCTACGGGATGTGCCACGCCCCCCTTTTTTTTAGACTTATTCATTCACATCTTACTATAAGCACCTACCGTAGCTGTGCCTGCATACCAAACTTCAAGTTCACGGGGCTTATGGTTTCGAAGTTATAGCTGATAAAACTTCCACGCCTATGGGATGTGACACGCCCCCTTTTTTAAACTCATTCATATACACCTTACTATAAGCACCTCCCGTAGCTGTGCCTGCATACTAAATTTCAAGTTCATATGACATATGATTTCGAAGGTATAGCTGACAAAAAATTCCACGCCTACGGGATGTGCCACGCCCGCTTTTACAAACTCATTTATTTACAGCCTACTATAAGCACCTTCCATACGTACCAAATTTAAAGTTCATGTGACTTATGCTTTCGAATTAATAGCTGAATAAAAATTCCGCTACTACGGGATGTGGCGGGTCACGCCTCCTTTTACAAACTCCTTCATATATAGCTTCCTATAAGCACCTTCCGTAGATATGCCTGTATACCAAATTTCAAGTTTATGTGGCTTATGGTCTCGAAGTTATAGCTGATAAATATTCCACACCTATGGCATGTGCCACGCCCCCTTTTACAAACTCATTTATATATGTCTTATTATAAGCGCCTACCATAGATATATCTGCATCCCAAATTCAAAGTTCATGTGACTTATGATTTCGAAGTTATAGCTGATAAAAAATTCCACGCCAACGGGATGTGCCACGCCCCCTTTTTTAAACTTATTCATATACACCTTACTATAAGCATCTACCGTAGCTGAGTCTGCATACCAAATTTCAAGTTCATGGGGCTTATGGTTCCGAAGTTATTGCTGATAAAATTTCCACGACTATGGGATGTGCCACGCCCCCTTTTTTAAACTCATTCATATACACCTTACTATAAGCACCTACCGTAGCTGTGCCTGCATACCAAACTTTAAGTTCACGGGGCTTATGGTTCCGAAGTTGTAGCTGATAAATATTCCACGCCTATGGGTTGTGCCACGCCCTCTTTTACAAACTCATTTATATACATCTTATTATATGCGCCCACCATACATATGTCTGCATCCCAAATTAAAAGTTCATGTGACTTATGATTTCGAAGTTATAGCTGATAAAATATTCCACGCCTACGGGATGTGCCATTCATATACACCTGATGCTTTCCATTTCCAGACAACCGTTCAGGTACGAGCATGAATTTTAATTTCGACCAAACTCAAATACATAGTTTGTTGGTCCAAATAATGAGACACGTAATTTTTCTTTTGGCTCGGAAAAATTTTTCGGCCGAATTAAACGGGATTTTGTTTTTCAGGCAAAAATCGATTATTCGAATTGACAGTGGGAATTTTTTTTTAAATGCCCATAACTTTGTCAAAATTTAATAGATTCCAACAACGTTTTTACTCAAATATCAGTAATTATTGTCACTTCAAGATAGAATGATACAATTATTGATTTTCATTATTTAAAATTTTTTATTTAACAATAAACAAATAGTGCACATTTTTTTTTTAAATTTAATTTCTCAAAAAGTGTATTTTTTTTCTCTCAAACTTTTTTATCGGAAAAGAGATACTTTGAACTACAATCAAGCCAAATCTCTAATAGCGAAGATTTTTTTCTGAGTTATGATTTTCTTATAGAAAATATAACTTTTTGTGGTACATACTACAATATTCTGATATTGTTTAACTAAATGGAACATATGGATGTAATATATCAGCAAAAAATACAGCCGTGATAATTTTCTGTGTATCAAATAGATATTAGAACACACTTTCCACCATACAGTTTCGATTATAAAAAGCTGGAAAATGTGATTTTGTATTTCGAAACTATATGGTGGAAAGTGTGTTCTAATATCTATTTGATACACAAAAAATGATCACGGCTATACTTTTTGCTGATA